GTGAATGCCTTAATTAAAATTAAAAACTTATCATTAAATATTTTTAAATTAAAATTTAACGACATTTTTAAAAAATTTCCTTAAAAATTTTTTATTCTTTTATTGATTTCGTTTTTTTGTAATTTTTTAATTACAAAAAGCCAGAGTTAGAGTTTAGGCAATAAAACTTACTTTAATAACTGCATTAAGTTAAATATTATTAAATTTTGTCACATTTTTTTAAATAAAATAAAATTAAATTAAATTTATTTTGTAGGATGTACGGAATCAAAAGTATAATTTTGATAAATTAATAATTGTTTTAAGAGCTTTTGCTCTGTATATTTTATATATTTACTTTGTAATTACATTCATATAAACATATATAACTAATTTTTAAAATTTTTAATCAGTTAATTAATCATTGAAATATATATTTCAAGAAATTTTTAGATAATAATAAAACTTATCGATTATACATTCTATAAATTAATATTAATATATATTTTGCTAAAAACATTATGGAGATTTTAAATAAAACTAACACATATATTTTATTAAAAATATTATTAAAATTGTTCCATCAATAAAAAAAAAAAAAAAAAAAAAAAAAAATCAAGAAATGTGAATTTTATAATACGAGAAAAATATTAGCCCGACAATAATTTAGAGATCATCAATGCTCACAGCCTTTCCCCATGAAAAGATTCTTGCATCAATACACAAATATATATAAAAAAATCTATAATTATTTAAATTTATCATAATTGGTTAAAAATAAATACATTTTAAATATTTTATTATTTTATTCGATAATAATTATCTTTAAAAATATAAAAAAATAAAATAATTTTTGTCATCGTTTTAAGAATTTAATTTAATAACAGAAAAAAATTATTATGAAATAACCTACACAAAGTTAAAATTATTTATTTGTCAAAAAATTGAAACATTGCATAATTTATATTTGGAATATTTTTTTTTTTTTTTTTTTTTTTTATATTAAAAGTTTAGGTCAAAGATTAAACGAAAAAAAAAAAAAAAAAAAAAAAAAAATCAGTTAGTTTTAACGACAAGGGAAGCCAAAACAATAAAAACTGATTTTGAAGTAAATTAAATTTCATTTAAAAAAAAAAAAAAAAAAAAAAAAAACTTTTGCAATGTTTCGTTAAAATTTATTCTTTTTTTTTTTTTTTTAAGTTCAAAAAAATAATTATATTAAAAAAAAATTTAAATTGCAATTGTTGATTGCAATTTTAAGTTTTTCAAAATTAAACGTTTTGTGGATTGCTTAAAGTACCGGATGCTTGATTGGGAGATGATGAAGCACTGTTTAACGGTACAGTAGGAACAACAATGTTTTGAGCCGATAATGGCTGCGCATTATTATTATTTCCTCTACTACTGTTCAGATCTACGATAACAGGATATAGTCCGTGCATTGCAGAGGCGTAGCTGGGAGGAGGAGTAGGATATTTTTTAACAGCTGTGTCATAATCTGGCAGATCCGGGAGTAGATTTTGAACGTCGGGATCAATGAACTGAATAGTTCTCTGAGCTGAAACTTGTCTCAATGTGAGATATTTATAGCAACTCCAAACTACTCCAATAAAATACGCCTATACGAATATAAAATTAATGATTATTATTATCAACTGTAAAAAATTTTTTATTATTATTCACAATTGTGAAATATCTAAAAGGGAATAAAATAATTTTAATAAGGTTTTTTTTTTTTTTTTTTTAAACTAAGTACATATGATTAATTTTTTTTGTCGATAATTTACTTTTGAAACTTTATCGAACCTCAATGTGTAAGAATCTTAAAAAATTAAACAGGAATTAAAATGCAAATAATAATAATAATAATATAAAAAAATTGAATATTGAAAAAGTAAATTACCTTAATAGACATGATCAATAAAAATATGACTGCAGCGAAGAGACCTAAAGTTTGAGGGTGAAGTCCCATTAATTCATTTTGTAATGGTAAATGACTGCTTTGAACGATAAGTCTATTTATGTCTGGGAAATAACATAGGTATCCAATGGCTGATATACTAAAACAAATTCAATAGCATTTTAAATATTAATAGTATTCAAATTATTCAATTTGTAAAAAAAAAATTCTAAGAATTTTTTTTCGATTATTTTCAGTTTGTTTTTTTATGTTAGCATTGTTTAACATTAATTATTTAGCGTCATGACGTGACTTTGTTTATTGCCGATTATCACAACAAAAACTTTAACTCACTTCACTTATTGACATAAGTGAACGCCCTCTTTCATAATTTATAACTTTAATACAAACGTTGAATTTTTTTTTTTTTTAAAGAGTTAATTCCGATTATATTTCACATTTTCAATAATATTAAAAGTCAGAGTAATTACGGAACTATTTAAAAATTTTGCAAAAATGATTCTTAACATAATTGGTAATAAAAGATAAGTAAAATAATTTAATTACCTTGCAACACAAAAATCAAACACTTGAAGACAAAAAAATGGCATTAAGTAAGATGGTTTCCCTTTTACTGCTCCATACAGAAGTAAAAGTGTCATTGCGAAAGTACAAAATGTGACTACAACTCCAATATTCATATCCTCTAAAAAAGTATATTTTAAAATTAGACATTTTTTAGTTTGAAATAGTCAAATGTATTTATTTTCTATACTTTATGCATTAATAAAATTAATTCAAAGAGTAAGTTTATATATTAGTATTGGGGTACTGAATTCATAAAATACATACGGTGAATCACAGTTTTGTGTTCCCAAAATTTATAGCTATTAGATAAAAGTGGTTGAATGTTTTTAGAGCTTTTATTATTCATGAATATTTCAAAATTCGGTCCTGATACATCAAAGTTTATGTTATCAACTTCACTTAGCGGAGTAGGCAACACTGGATCCAGATCTTCTTTTGGGTAACTCAACAATATTGCCATCACTGGCAAAGCCATAACATGAAGCATCTGCATAATAATAAATATATTTTGTCTTGAGTTAAGAAATGACACATCACATTGAATAAAGACAAAAGTAACAAAAAAGAAGCCAATAATTAAAGTGCTAATTAAACTACTTTCTTACCAAATTCCATACTCCAATAAATATTGTACCAGTTCTTACATGACAGCAAAAACAACACCTCCAATCATTTCGGCGTTCACCAAATTTAAATCTAAGACTCTGCATTACCTGTTTTAGAAATAGAATAAAAAATAAAAGAATTTATTCTAAATAATAAAAATTCCTTTTGACGCTAATTAAAAACTCATTAATGCTTATATGACAAATCAACTAAATAAAAAAACAATAATCAATTATTGCGCAGTTAATCTGTTTCTATACAACCTAAAAGAAAAGGTCACTTAAAGATTTAAAATTATCTTAAAAATTAAAAATACAAACAAAGCGTATAATACGTAATACTAATTTATCAATAAAGCAGTGCTTAAATAAGTATTTGTTATAAGAATTATATTATTTTTATATAAATAACCAACTTAGAAACATACTTATAAGTTTAAATAAAATTTAATATGTTAATTGACACCTAATTTCAATATTGAAAAATTATTAAAAATTAACTATACCAAATGACGTCACGGCACAAACCAAAATAATGTAAAAGTCACAAATAAAAAATAAAAAATACAAAATGAAAGTATATTCTTAAATTATATTGAAACCCGAAGAAAAATATTGTAATTACGTATTATTAAAATAACTTAGTTAATAATTAAAACTTACTTTGGGCTTTTCTGCGATAATGAAAAACACAGAATTTTCTGTAATCGATTAGCAAAAAAAATTTAATTACCAACACAAAATTTTTCCCCTAAAATTTAGTGCCAACATTTTTATGCGCTTAAGTTGGTGTGCTTGATATTAGACTGTAAAAAAAAAACTAAATGAGTTTTTTCAACGTAAATATTTTAAATTATTAAGGTTTCGTATGTTTAAAAAGAAAAAAAAAGGCATTAGCGTGTTTTTAACTTAATTTATAATTAGTTATATATTTAAAAATGTCAGTTGATGTTGTTCCTAAAGACTTAAAAAATCTCAGAGCTTGTCTCGTTTGCTCTTTAATTAAGGTAAACAAGAATGGATAAATTCATAGTTTTGATGAAAAGATAAATCTTTCATATGTTGCAAAATCCTTTTTTTATTTATTTTATATTTATTTATTTAAAGAATTTTAAATTTTTTAGACTATGGATCAATTTGAATATGATGGATGTGATAATTGTGATGAATTTTTAAGAATGAAAAATAATAGAGAAAATATTTATGATTGCACTAGCTCTAATTTTGATGGGTAAAAATATTTGTTTTGCACTTTATTTATATTTATCGAAAAAGGTATTTAAATTTATTTAAAAAAACAATTACACAAAAAAATTAAAATTTTTTTTTAGAATGATAGCTCTTATGAGTCCAGAGGATAGTTGGGTAGCCAAATGGCAAAGAATTAGTAAGTTTAGTTTTATTTATTAGTTTTATCTTGATTTATTATAAAAAATTTTAATTTTACAATTATTATAGATAGATTTGTGAAAGGTGTTTATGCAATTTCTGTTGCTGGAAGGCTTCCACCACATATTATAAGGGATATGAAAAACAGAGGCATTATTTACAGACCCAGGGATACAAGTCAAAGATAACTGAAAATAATAGTCAGCTGTATGTGGAAGTTATAAAATTTGTCTGTGGATTTATTTATTTTGTTCATAAAAAATTTCATTACTATTTTAATCATAAGAAGAAAATAGTAAAAAAATTGTGGGTTTGAAAAAAAAAATTAATATCCTGGACAATTTCCATGATTTTTATTCCATTCAATCGCTGATCGAATTATCCCTGTGTTTCTGAAAAAGTCAACAGTTACAATGTTGGATTTAGTTTGCCAATCTTTTTGACGAAACCACTCGGTGACATTGTGGTTAACTGATTCAGCCATAACTCTTAAGCCTAAAATGTAAACCAAGATTTGTAAAAAAAAATAAAAAAAAAATATTTTTTAAAAAATATATGTAATTTTAGTTTTTTACATACCTTTAAGTCTATCCAAAATTATATCCAAAGTTGTTGGAGTAAGTTCAGCCATGGCTGACCACGATTCAAACGGAGGTCTGAAATTAAAATTTTCAAATTATACAATTATTGATTTAAATAAACAAATGATTTACAACTATTATTTTACCTAGCTATGAGTCCAGATAAATATGAATAAAGTTTATTTACACTTTGTACATTTCCCCATTTTTGTTGAACAGAATACCATAAAAAATTAAACTGAACAGCTATTTCTCTTCTATCATATCCAACAATTAATTTTTTACCCGTTTTCCACACCTGTTTTAATAAAATTTATAAGTAATTTGAAAAATTAAATAAAATTTAAAAATAATAATTAATTTTTTTATAAATTACTTGATCTAACGTTGCATCCCATCCCAAGTTTGGTACATAAAGATCATTCAATTCATTTTCTAAAAAATTAACCAATAAGTAATGTATATCTATTGAGGTAAAGCCTGAAAAAAAAAAAAGAATTACCAAGTTTTGTATTTATTATTCATAAGAAAAGAAAAAAAAAAAAACCAATTTGGTTTTTAATGATAATTTACCAACAGGAAATTCTTGAACATCTAAGATAACGATTTCGTTTGTGTTATTTATAAAAGTTTTAATGTCATTTAAAACAATTCTCAAAGGATGAATTCTTACTACTCCGTGATTAGCCCACCATTGTTCATTATTCCCTGAATAATATCCAACTCTTAAATCTATGTAACGTATGCCGTAAATAAGTTGCGCCAATACCGTTTCATCCTGTAACGTATTTTTAGTACAAAATTTGTTTTTGCTTTTTTTTTTTTGTAAAATCACACAATATATATATAGTTTACCTGAGTAATGGAATACTTTCTAACTCTTGTATTTCTTAAATTTTCTTCGTACTCTTCGTAAGCAGCAGA